GAGGTTGGAGTTATGCAGTGCAAGGCCAGGAACACCAAAGACGGCTAGCAAATCACCAGGAGCTAGACAGGGGAGGAAGGGTTTCCCTACAGATATCAGAGGGAGTGTGGTCCCGCTGACACCTTGATTTTGGCCATTAGCCTCCAGAACTGTGAAACAATACATTTCCATTATTTTCAGCCACACAGTTTGTGGATGTGTTGTTGTTTTGTTGTACGAACAGCCCTAGGAAACTAATAAACCATTTTTTACTTTTGACATTGGAAAAGAATAAAAATAATAAATTACCCAGGCTTTAGTAGAATGTTCATGAGGCACTCTTATACACTGCTGATGGAAGGCTATACTTGTACAGATTTTTGTTGGGTGAATTGGCAAAAAATGTCGATAACAGCCTTCAAAAAGTAATATAACTTTTGTGATAGAAGGTGACTTGGTTTAGGGTGGTGAACACACAATACAGTGTACAGATTATGTGTCATGGAGTTGTGCACCTAGAACCTGTATAATTTTGTTAACCAGTGTCACCCCAATAAATTCAATAAAGAAGGAAAAAACAACAGAAATAAAAACATGTTAAATCTCTGGTAAAAAGGAGTACCTAAATCATGAACTCATAGAATGTAATAAATATTTGTCTTATTTTCACTCATGGTATTTTTCTTATTTGTCTTATTTTCACTTCATGGTATTTTTCTACCATGGACAGATTTTTTATGGAAGTCTTTATTCCTTAGATTATTTTATTTCATTTTCTCTGTAACTTTTTCTGGACATTTCTATTTCTGTTTCTTTGACATAGAGCAACTAACATTAGACACAGTGTCTTAAGTATATTTGTTATGGATTTGAATTAGACAATGTTAATGCTTTGTACTTTTAAAAATACATTTCTTGTATTTTTAAGACCAAGAAAAAGAATATACCTTTTGTTCCAGCAGTTATATTCCTATAGTTTTTTTTCTGATAATAGGGAAAGTTAAAAATAATCTGTGTACAATAATAAAGGGTTGCTTATATAAATTGACATATTATATGCAGTCATTAAGAGTGATAATGTAGCCTGGCTGGTGTGGCTCAGTGGTTGAGCGCTGACCTCTGAACCAGGAGGTCACGGTTTGATTCCCGGTCAGGGCACATGCCCAGGGCTCAATCCCCAGTAGGGGGCATGCAGGAAGCAGCCAGTTGATGATGTTTCTTTCTATATATCCCTCTCCCTTCCTCTCTCTGTAAAAATCAATAAAAACAATTTTAAAAGGGTGATAATGCAGATTTATATGTATTGCTATAGAATGATAGAGAAATTTAAGTGATGAAGTACATATATAGGATGACCCTGTCTGTTGTAGGGAAAGATACAGATATTTACACCCATACATATGCAAAGAAAAATGTCTCCAGGATTTGATAAAGTACTTGGAAATTGGTAGATACCCAATAAAACATTTACCAAATAAATTAATAAATAATTAAGTTAATAAAAGTTATAAACCAAAATGCTAACATTAGTTTCCAGAAGGTGGTAAAATTCTGGGTGAGCTTTTTGAAACATGTGTTTCAGTTGTTTTGGAATTATATCTATTTTCTAATTTTTATACAGTAAGCATTTGTTATATCTATAATAAGAAAAAAGAAAGAAAGAAATACTTGTGTTTTTTGCCCTAGCCAGTTTGACTCAGTGGATAGAGCGTCGGCCTGTGTACTGAAGGGTCCCAGGTTTAATTCTGGTCAAGGGCATATACCTCGGTTGCAGGCTCCATCCCTGGCCCTGGTCGCAGTGCATGCGGGAGGCAACCAATCTATGTGTCTCTCTCACATCAATGTTTCTCTCTCTCTATCTCTCCCTCTCCTTTCCACTCTCTCTAAAAATCAGTGGAAAAATATCCTTGGGTGAGGATTAACAACAACAACAACAAAAACAAAACTTGTGTTTTTGTTTTAATTCTGCCATCAACTTATTTTCTGATGTGGGACTCCCCAACTCCCACCTCCACAGCAAGGAGTCGGGGTTTGGTTAGGCGACCTCCAGGCCCTTCCCCAGTGGCCTGGTGGGGGGTGGGAGTATGGAAGTCTCTAGAGCAGAGGGAACGGCCATGAAATGGAACCGGCAACAGAAAGATTCCCCAGGAGCCCAAGGAGAGCGTGTGGGTGAGGGAGCCACTGGCCATAAATCCTGCTGAGGCCTCAGAGGCCAGCTGGAGGCACAGCCAGAGCTGCCCAAACACTGTGGGCTTAACTGGGCCCGAGTCCTGGTTTGTAGAAAGCCAGCCAAGAAATAAAGCAAACAGCCATAGCAAACAAGGCAGGAGAAGCTACATGAACAGATGTTAGCTTAGAAAGCCCCACAAGGCTGACGCTTGAGGGCTGTAAAACTCGGAGGCCTAAAAAGGAGACATATGTAATTCTCTTTGTAATACTTTAAGCAATAAAACAAAATTAAAAACAAACAAACAAACAAAAACTCGGAGGCCTAGTACAGCTACTCTGGAAAGCAGTCCAGCAGCTCTTCGAAAGGTTAAACATAGAGTTACCCCACCACCCAGGAGCTCTGCTCCTAAGAGATACGAAAACATGTGTCCACACAAAAACCTGCACATGAGTGTTCAAAGCAGCATTATTCACAACAACCCAAAGCTAGAAACATCTCAGATACACATCCACTGGTACATGGATACACAAACGGTAGTACATCCATACAGTGGAATATTATTCAGCCGTAAAAAGGAATAGATTACTAATACATGCTATAACATGGAGGAAACTTGAAAATATCATGCTCAGGGAAGGAAGCCATTCACACAAGGCCAAATATTGTATGCTTCCATTTAAGTGAAATGTCCAAAATAAGCAACTCTCTAGAGACAGAAAGTAGATTGGTGGTTGCCTGCGACTCCAGGGGATAGTGGATCCGAGGGTGGGTGGTTAAAGGGTATGGATTTCTTTTGGGGGTGATTGAATATGTTCTAAAATTGATTGTGGTGATGATTTCACAGTTCTGTGAATACATGGGAAAACACTGAATGGTTAACTTTAAGTGAATTGTCTGGTAGATGGATAATACTTCAATAAAGCTGTTATAAAAAAAAATAAAAAGAATAAAGCCTCTAAGGCAGGCTTTCCCTAACCCATGTTTTCAGTTTATCCTGCAGGCAAGTATGAAGATAGCTCCCATTTATTAGGGACATCCATTATACCAAGCAAGGGCATTAACCATGGCACGGAGCTGGAGGACCAGAGACAGGTGGTCTAGTCACTCCTTGCACCCCAGCCAACAGCCAGTGAACCAGCAGATATGTGAGTGAAGCCATCGTAGATGATCCAGCTGCCCACAGACCCTCCACGTGACCATCCTATATAATAAAAGGGTAATATGCAAATAGACCGAATGACAAAATGACAAGAACGTCTGTGGCCCTTTGCCCTGGCTGGCCCCGCCCTCAATCACCCCCGCCCTCAACCGCCCCCCCCACCCCAGCCGGCCTGCCCCCGATGGCCCCCATCAGGGGCGGGCCAGCTGGACCCCACCAGTGCACAAATTCGTGCACTGAGCCTCTAGTTCCTATATAAAAGAGCCCAGCAGAGGCCAGTCAGGCTGGGCCAGACCAGAAGATCTGCCCAGCTGACCCACAGAAGTGTGAGCTAAGTAAGTGATTGATTGATGTTGAAGGCACTGAGTTTTGAGGTGGTTTGTTATGCAGCAGAAACTAACTGGCACACTTTGGGTATAAATGTGTCGTGGCTCCTCCAGGGAATATTTTAAGCTATAGAAATGCTGGGTCATACGTTTGGCATGTCTCTAAGTCTGCTAGATATTGCCAAGTAGTTCCCCACAGGGGTTCTGCCAATTTACACTCCCACCAGCCCTGTGGGCAGGTTCCTCTTGCACCACAATCTTGCCAATACTTGGTAATGTCAGATATTTTCATGTTTGCCTATCTGATAGGTGCGAAATGGTATCTTGGTTTAATCTGTAATTCCCTGAGCACAAGCCAGGCAGCTTATCTTTTCTGAAGTTTATGGTTGAATGGAGTTTCTGCAAAGAAACAACGACCTTGATCAGGCTTTCCATTTCTCCATCTTTGTGTGGCCAACTCCCTCTCATTCTTTAAGATGCACGAAGAAGTTGGGCTTTCATCCCAGAGTGCCCTCTCCCGCTCTTGTCACCTGCCTGCTCCTTTAAGAAGCAGCTCAGGCACTAACTCCTTCAGCCAGCCTTTCCTGACTTCCAACCCCCACATTGGGCCAGGGGCCCCCTCTGCCCCCTTCACCTTCCTCTATCTGATCACCCTTGGCCACGGTCAGGCCTTTCTGGCCCATCACCTGTAAGGGAAGAGGAATGACCTTGGCTTTTCCCGACAAGCAAGAACAGTGGCACAACCTCCACGTGCCCAGCAGAGGCCCCCACAGTCTTCCCGGGCCACTCTGCCCAGCCTCCTCACAGTTCAGTAAAAACTCCTCATTTCCTCCAGCTCCAGCGTCAGAACAATGTGATCCTGAGATGTAGCTGCAATACCTTTTTGCTACTGTGGCTTTTAATTAGGCATAAAAAAGCCCTGGAGGTCATAGTGCTCCCTTGTAATGTGGTGTTCCGAAAATCACTGCCATCTGATTAAATGAGAGAAGGGCCATTCAACTGATTCGTTAGGCATATTTCAGTGGTGTTGGGTGGCATCATGACCATCGTGACTGTTGTTGTTATTTACAGAGCAAGGAGGGGACGCACGTTCTCTAAGGATATTGATGGGACGAACTAGTCGTCATGAAATGGCTAGAATAGGAGAGGCTGCGAAATCATGCCGGGAATTGGGACACAGGACACCGATCAGAGGTGGAGGAAGAAGTATCTAACATCCCCCCCCCCAAACTCATAGATTACATTCTTACCCCTAGTAACCTCAGAATGTAACCATATTTGGAGATAAGGTCTTTAAAGAGTTAAGTAAGTTAACATAATATCTTTAGAGTGAGCCCTAATCCAATATGATTTTTGTCCTCATAAGAAAAGGAAATTCGCATACAGAGACATGCATACAGAGATGGGAGAAAAACCAGGTGAAGACACAGGGAGAAGAGAGCCGCCTGCAAGCCAAGTGGAGAGGCCTCTGAAGACATCAACCCTGCTGAAACCTTGCAGCCTCCAGAACGGCGAGAAAAGAAATGTCAGTTGTTTAAGCCACCCGGTCTGTGGTCCTGTTACGGCAGCCTGAGCAAACTAAAACACATCCTGTATACCAGGTGAGTACTCGGCATCTGTAATTGCATTTGATCCTCACTTGCTCAAGGTCTTACCAGCTGGCAAGTGGCAGAACCAGGATTTGAACCCTGGTCCCTCGGACTCTGATGCCTGCCACACATTGCCAAACTGCATCAAACGGAGATGAGGAGAAATGGCAGCCCTCGACCTGCGTGAATTTTGAAAATCCCTTCCACCATAAACAACCTAGGGCTTGGTACACGGTGGAGGCTCAGACATATTTTTAGCAAGTTCTGTTGTCTGTTATACTCTTGAAAGAGTGCCACCCTCACTGAGGATTCTTTATGGAGTACAAGAGCTTCTATAAATCTCTGAGAGCTGTTAGAGAAGATGCCTGATGTTCCTCCAGGAAGAATCAGAACCTGCACCTGCAAATGGATGGCTCAGTTGCTTTGAGAATACCGTCAAAATGACTTAGCCCAGCGCTCCGTGTTTGTCACGCTTTGCCCCTGCCCACCTCCTCTCCAGCTAAGTCTCTGGCCACATACCTGCTGAATCCAACAATGCAGACTTTCCTTGGTGTTCCTGGAACAATCCGTACCCTTTCCTGCCTCCATATCTTTGTTCACGCTGTTCCCTTTGTCTAGACCAGTGGTTCTCAACCTTCTGGCCCTTTAAATACAGTTCCTCATGTTGTGACCCAACCATAAAATTATTTTCATTGCTACTTCATAACTGTAATGTTGCTACTGTTATGAATCATAATGTAAATATCTGATATGCAGGATGGTCTTAGGCGACCCCTATGAAAGGGTCGTTCGACCGCCAAAGGGGGCACGACCCACAGGTTGAGAACTGCTGATCTAGACTGTCCTTCCCCACCTGCTCCACCTGGTGACCCCCTACTCATCCTTCAAGTGTCACCCTTCAAAGGTCCCCTCTTTCAGGAAGCTTTTATGACCTCCCCTGAAAGAATCAGGGGCTTCCTCTGGTGGGCACGTGTTATACTTTATCTTCTATGTGACAGACACCCTACGGTGACCCCTGCAAGGAGCCACATCCTTGTACAATCCCCACCCCTTCAGTTTGGGCAGAACCAGTGATTTGCTTCTAACCAACAGTGTGTGGCAAAGGTGACAGACGGACACCCCCTTGATTAGGTTCCCTGATATGGCCAAGGCGATGGGATGGCCCTCCTAAGATTGCGTTGTGTCATAAAAGACTCCATTCTAGCAGACTGCAGAGTGAGGCTGCCTCGCTGGCTCTGAAGAAGCCAGCTGTCATGTGTGAGCTTCATGGCCTAAAACTGTGAGCAGCTCTAGGATCAGAGAGAGGCCCCCAGACAACAGCCAGCAAAAAAGGCGAGGCCATCAGTCCCTGTGTCGCAACAGATGAACTCTGCCGCCAACTGAATGAGCTTAGAAATGGATCCTTCCCTAGTCAAGCCTTCAGATGAAAACACCACCCTGCCTACACCTTGATGGTAGTCTTGTGAGACACTGAGCAGAGGAACCAGCTAAACCTGGCTGGGGCTCTTGACCCCTGGAAACTGTGAGATGATAGATGTGTGTTGTTTAAGCCATCCGTTTTCTAGTAATTTGTAACACAGCGATCGCTAATCTCTCTGCTACAACATATAACCAGTGTTATTCTTCATGTGATATTCCCAACTAGCGGGGAGCCATGAGAAAAAGGAAGAGGTTCCGCTCTTTCAGCCCTCACACAATGCCTGCCTGGCACATAGTAGGTGTGCTTAATACATGTTTTTTGAATGACTAAATGAATGTGATTTTTAAGGTTCCACCTGACTTTAAAAAACACACACACTCTCTAATTCTAGGATGTTGAAATTTCATTCACTGTTACCTTCATGGAAGGTCAATGAAAATATCAAATTTCCAAGGAATAGAGAAGAATGCAGAGAGCAAGCATTCTTCTGTAACAGTTATAGATCCTTTGACACAATTTGCCAAGCAGTTGGGCACACTGGGCCCTGTAAATGTAATAACGGTGTCTGCCGAATGTCTTTGAAAATGGTCAAAGTCAAGGGCAAAATCCCAAAACCCGCTGAAAGGCAGTGAGGACCATTAGCTGCTATTTGAAACCCAGAGGCAAAGAGACATTATGAGCCTCAAACCAGTTAGAGGAAGAGCCATCAGTCAACCGTGGAGCCAGGGACAGAATTCGAAATCGCAATTTTCCCAGAACCCCCAGAAAACGCTTCGTGCCTCCCCTCCTCCCCCCCCCCGCATTGTTCTCCCCTCCCCTCCCTCCTCCTCTGCCATAGAAACAAATACACAATCCTTAAGGCCAGGAAGGCCTGCAGATCCCTGCCTCCAAGGCCCTCGCCAGCCGTACAGGTGGGAAGACTGAGGCTCAGAGACAGGACTTGGCCAGCAGATCCAGACGGTCCTGAGAACAGCATTCTTTTTCAGAATCCCCCGAAGAATAAAGTTAAAAATAAAAACGAAACAAAGCAGAAAGCTTCCTTGAGGATCAGTGAGCAAATGAAGCAATTAACCAGAAATCCAGGCACCTCGCTATTAAAACAAAAAGTTTTACCAGGTCTAGACAGATATGCAAAGCGAAGGAGTCATTTTCGCAAAGCAATTCTTACCGCGGCCCAGGTCCCAGGCACAGTGCATTACCTTCATCTTCATTAGCCTTCCCACCATTCCTGTTTAATAGCCCTTTTTACAATGCCTTTTTTTTTTATGAATGAAGAAACTGAGGCGCAGAGAGGTGACACAATTCTTCCGGGGTTACATAACCAGGAATATTTAACCAAGTCTGCCTGTGGTCACTCTGCCGTGATGCCCAAAGGAGTGGGGAGTGAGGCTCAGAGAAGGGGATGCCAGCCGGGGTGCCTTGGCTGGGACCCTCACGTCAGAGCTCAGGACGCCCCCATCTGGCTACATTCGAGGCACACAACACAACAGCTCCTGACTGTCCGCTCCGGGAGGGCAGGGACTGTGGTGAATCCCCAGAGCATTGCCTGGCAGGTGGAAGGAGGAGCTAAGTGCGAATGATGAATGATCAAAGGGAGTGGATGCCTGAATGGATGTCCCAGTTAACCATGATGTGTGCACGGCAAGGATATTTTCGCTGGGAGCTCCTCTAATCTGATGTGTGTGTAGTGAGTGTTCCAGTGTAACCAATAAATAATCCCCTGATTAGCGAAGCTCTTCCAGACTTCCTCGCAATCGGATTACAGCACAGCTGGCCTGATAAGGTCACTTCCACTGCTCTGTCTCTTTCCAGCCTACAAATTGGCTCCCTGATATTTATTATTGCAATTGGTATAGTTTGCTATTTCCCCAAAGCTGTGGGAGAGAAGTCGGCTTCAATCCCATCCGTCTTCAGACAAGATGCAAGGAGAGTGTGCGGTGGGTTGGTAATGTGGGTGGTTAACAGTACAGACGTTGGGGGAACTGCCTCACAGCCCAGACACTGTTTCCTCATCTGTAAAGTGGGGGTAAAAATAATATCCGTTTCACAGGATGGTTGTGAGGATTATAAGAATCAATGCCTATAAAGTGCTTAGCTCTCTGTGAGTTTTCCTTGACGCTGCTAATGAGAGAGCCTGGCACAGGCACCACTGGCTCCCGGTGGAACTGGGGATCAGATAGTGACCTCCTCTGGCCCTTGATTGCCCTATCTGTAACACAGTGGGAGAGAGAGGGAACTAGGATTCGTTCACCAAGTGATTACAGAGCCCACACTATGTGGTCATCCTAGGGCAGAGCACCAGACACAGACTTAAAGGAGCGCTGGCCCTGCTCTGGAGGGCCTCCTGTGTGGGAGGAACCAAGACCAGCATCGATGCTAAGCACTGTGGGAGTGCCTGGTCCAGGCCAGGCTGCGTGATACACACTTTGCATACATGAGCTTAATCAATATTCGTAATCATGCTGAGGACAATGCCACTGTCCCCATCGTATAGGTGAGGGGCACACCCTGGCTCAAGGTCACAGGGGCAGTGAATATCAGAGATGGAATTTGAACCTGGAGATCAGCTCTGTGCTCTAAGGCCCTTCTGGCACCAACATGACATGATTCTCCGTGACCAGAAACAGACGCAAGATTACACCGAGGCCAAGATAAATGCTGCATCTCCCCTCTTCTCCTGATGCTTTTGTGATTTCTCTTTTTCCTGCCTCTCTCTTATCTCCCTGCATGTTCATCAATATTGCCGGCATTATCTACCAGTCACAGAGGCGAACATTTCCATTTTCTCTGCTGATACCATCCCCACTGACACTGCAGGGAAGAGACAGGCTATGGTCCGGAGCAGAAGTGATAACTCCAGTTGCTAACCTCCTTTCTCTAGGGATCAGAGCTGGAAATGTTCCCCCTGACACCCTCCATCAGATAGCTTAGAGCCTCCTCCTCCTCCTTTATTAAGTCCCTGCTCTGGCCCTTGCTTGCCCTATCAGGTTTGGCTCAGTGGATAGAGCGTTGGCCTGGGGCCCAACGGGTCCTGGGTTCTATTCCGGTCAAGGTCACACACCTTGGTTGCAGGCTCCTCCCCAGCTCAGGCCCTGGTGGGGCTCCTGCAGGAGGCAACCAGTTGGTGTGTTTCCCTATCTCTTCCGCTCTCCCTAAAAGTCATTGGAGAAATATCCCCGGGTGAGGATTAACAACAACAACAAAAATCCCTGCTCATTTCTCCCCGCCACAAAATGCCCACTCACCAACCAGGAATCATTAGTGGGTGGCTATTTTTTAACCTCAGACATTCCCAGCCCAACTTTCAAGAGAATGTGGTTTTTATACCATTCCCTCTGGGCCTTTTTAGCATCACTGAACCAAACAGTTGGGAGGCTGCACAGCCTAGTGGCTGAGTAAGAACTCTGGAGCCAGACTGCCAGGGTTCAACTCCCAACTCTTTGATTAACTACTCCTGTAACCGTGGCGATAGTTATGCCCCCATGTCTCAGTTTCCTGGCTGTCTTTCCAGGATGATGATTGATGATGATTGATGATGATGATGATGATGATGATGATGGTGATGATGGAGGAGGTGGTGGTATCTCTCTTTATAGACTAGTTGGGAGGATGGAGTGAGTTAAAATACAAGTGTTTAAAACAGTGTCTGGCACTCAATAAACATTACCGATACTTTTTTATATGTCCCATAGGAAATACATCTCAAATTAAATTAATCTCTATTGCCTTCTAAGGATATATTCCAGTAGATAAGAGGGAGGGGAGAAGCTCCAAATGACTATGGAATAGAAAAAGCTTTTTTTAAAAGATTGCCATAAAGAAGAAATGAATGAACAACTTTACAGCACCCTGCAATGAGTGGGGGGGGGGGGGGCGGGAGGGGTAGTCACAGCGCGCTTTCATTTATTGCACAGGACGTGGCGTTTGCAGCTGCCCTGGGGAGACAGGAGGCTTAGAAAGTCCACTTTACAGATGAGAAGGGAAGCCCTTTGCCGAGGGTCATTCAACTAGATAAGGGACGTCCTGAGAGTGGAATGGTAGTTTCCTGCCTGCTATCCAATGTGCAACTCCATATGCTGTTTCTTCATTAAAACAAACACATAGTAAACAAACAATAACTGAACGTCCAGCTCAACACAGAACACTTCTGAGTTGAGTCTGATTCACTCTTCCTCCCTCTGTCTTTTCCACGGTTCCAGGGCGTTCAGGTTTTTCCAGGAACATTCACGGGAGGAAGGCATTGGCTTGCCAGAGTTGGGGGACAATAATGAACTATTCAGAGTGACGAAGGGAAGCCTGCAGCATAACACGTTCGCGAGAATAACACTTTCCTTCTGAAGAGGGCAGTATGCCACCGAGGCCAGGTCTGCAGGGCCCCATGGAGGCAGTGCAGCTCTCAGAAGCCCAGGCCTCTTGGATCTCCAAGAGCTTATTTCTGAACGACAAGCCCATCTTCTGACATGAAATAGGATTCTTGAGGTTTGAGCACAGTGACACGCTGCCTCGCATCGAGGGGACACACTGCAAACTGATCCGAAGGTGGTTATACAAGATGGATGGAAGAAACCCCGAGTTCTTTTTCCATGCTCCTGCACTCGGCTACCCTCCCAAATTGGCCTCTATGAAACCAGACAATAGCCCGGCACCCCAGGTGGTCTCTGATGTTTGCAGAGGAAAATCTTTCTTTTTCTGCTAAGACCTGTGTGCAAGGTAGTTCCTGCTGCCTATAGCAAAATGCCTTCTTGCAAACCTCTTTGGCACAGAGATAAAATGTTGGGAATGGGGATCTTAGCTTCCTGGGATGCATTTATCAAGCCAATCACAGTAATTATAATTAGAACACAAACTAAGTGAAAGCTTAGCATGAAATACACTTGCAGTGAACCTGAGCTGCATACAATTAAGCCCCGCTGAGTGGCATTTTGAGGTAGGCCATTAATATATTTTGGGGGTGGGGAGCTTGATTTTTTCTTAAATATCTTTTGCTGGTTGCATCAAAGGCTTCAACAACAGGTTAGAAGGAGGAAGAAGGATACACATTATTAACTGCTAAACTTAGAGCTGTAAGACAGATATCCAAAGGTAGCTTAATTGGCTATTTAAGACAACTTGTCAAATATGTTCACTGGGCATTAATTTAACCTGGGTCTGTTTTAGGGCAGTGAAGAAGAGAATTGAGGATTTGGGGGGAACAGTATACCTTCAATTCCTAGCCTCAGTTTTGGGAAAGCACTAAGCTAACAGTGTTGAAAATTCTTCCATGCTTTCCCATTGTATAAAATAGAAAGTTCCAGCCAGGCTAGTGTGGTCCAGTGGTTAAGCAACAACCCAAGAACCAGGAGGTTATGGTTTGATTCCCAGTCAGGGCACATGCCCAGGTTGTGGGCTCAATCCCCAGTGGGGTCGTGCAGGAGGCAGCCGATCAATGATTCTCTCTCATCATTGATGTTTCTATCTCTCTCCTTCTCCCTTCCTCTTCCTGAAATCAATTAAAAAACATATTAAAAAAATAAAATAAAACTAAGTGATGCCATCTCTTTGATTGATAATGTCCTTATCGTTATCTCCTCCCCTAAACCTGGGATCTCTCGGGCATTATAATACTTATCATATATGGCCTGTCTCCCCTGCTAGACTGTGACCTCCTTGAGGTCAGAGATTACATCTTTTTAATTGGGGTCTCTAGCACCCAGTACATGATCCAGCACAGAATCTTGATGCTTGGAAAATGTTGAAGAGTAAATGAATGAGTGAAAGAATGAATGCTGCATCCTTCTGGGTTCAACTCAAACCCACTTTTTCCAGTGACACTCCATCTTTCCCTCCCCCACATAGAAGTCAGATGACTCTGCAGTGGGAATTCCATAATATTTCTAGGGAAAATATAGCTTTCCATCGGAAAATAGCTTAGGAGAGGCAATTCAGTTTGGAGGAAATGTGTGAGAGGTGTGTGTGTGTGTGTGTGTGTGTGTGTGTGTGTGTGTGTGGAAAGTTACCTTTGAGTAAAAGCACAGGCTTTCACCTGGATTGTACTTAGGGGAGTGGGATGGGAGGTGAGAAGCTATATGCCACATATTTTGTCTTGGGATGGGAAAGCACAGAGTACTTTTCTGCAATCCATTTCATATATATTTAAATTTTTTGAGATGATTGTAGATTTACATGCAGTTGTAAGAAATAATACATCGACATTCCATTACCCTTCACCCAGTTCCCCCCAGTGCTGACAAGCTCACAGCCTGAACATTGACATTGATACAATCCGCCCACCTTATTCAGATTTCATCAGTTTTGTACGCATGCATTTGTGTATGCGTGCGCGCGCGTGTGTTGTGCACACTTTGTATTTCTGAAAACGGCTTTCTTGCCTGCTGGAGACTGGGCAGGGGTCCAGTCTGATCCATCCTTGCAGAGGAGTTGGCTCCCACAGGCACCGGTATGTGCTTGTATCCATCTTTTGAACGTAGTAGGTTCCAACTACCGTCCACATAAACACTTGAACTTGTATGTCAGTGTGTGCAAGAGGGGAGCGCAACGTTTTAAGGTAGAAAACTGAGCCTGAAGCATTTGGTATTTGAGAGGCAAAAAGTTGGCTATTTTCCGCCACAATTGTGAATTAGCTATTTGGCTAATTGCTCCAAAGCGACCCTAATGCACATGCTTCCATCGCGGAAGAGCGGTTTTGAGGTTCACTCTTCACTCCCTCTGGAAAATTGGAGGGGGCTCACAGCGCCCGGGGAGCTCCGCCCACCCCTACCCACCCCCACCCCCACTTTCACCCCTTTCTTCCCTGGGGCCGGACTGTTTCACCCCGTTTCCAGGCAACCGCCAGGCGCGAGGTGGGACGTCATTTCCTGAAAAGCCCGCGGGGAGAGGGCGGGGGGAGAGGAGGGGCCAGGGGGCGGGGCCAAGGCTGGGCAGGCGACGGCGACGGCGTCGGAACTCGCTGGAAGATCGGCCCCGGCGGCTCAACAGTTCCCAAAGTCCGGGCTCGCGGCCGCGCGGCTCCGTCTGTGCCCGGGCGGTGCAGGGGCGCGGGGGTCCCCGGGCGGCTGCATCCCGGGGCTGCCCCGGACATGCCCCGCTTCCCGTGCCGGACGCCCGCGCGGCTCCACCGGCTGCGGTTCGGGGGGCTCTGGGACTAGAGCACCTCCATCCCAACTTATGATTTTGGGGTCCCCCAGCCCGAGAGGAACGGGCGGCCTGGCTGGGGGAGCCCCGGGCCTGGTGTGACGGGGCGGTCAGCTTTGCCGCGCCCCCCACTCCAGCCATCTCTGTGCCCTGCAGAATGTAACTGCTCTCTCTGCGTCCCCCCGGACTCCAGCCGCAGTCTCCGCGACCTCCCGCTCCCGCCGCCAACCCGTGCCACCCGGGATCCCGTCGCCGCGCCTGCCTTGCCCGGACACCCGCCGCCGTCTCTGCACCCGCGGACTCCAGTTTCGCGACCCCCTCCGTCTTCGCGCGCCTGGGACTCTAAGCAGAGGTCTTCTCGATCCCCCCCCAGGATTCAGACACTGCTCCCGCACCCCCAAGCCCGGACTCCAGTCGTCGTCCTCGGGGCCCCGCCCCCCGCCCCCAAACCCAGACGCCAGCCGCGACCTCCGTGCTCCCCGGGATCCCGCTGTCGCACCGGCGCCGGCGAGGGCAGCCGCTGCCCCACCACGCGCCCCGAGTCCGCCCGGCCCTCGGCGGGGAGATGAACGCGCAGCTGGACGGCCTGTCGGTGAGCTCGTCCTCCACCGGCTCGCTGGGCTCGGCGGCCCGGGCGGGCGGCGGAGGGCACGCGGGGCTCCGACTGCTGTCCGGGAACGTGCGCCAGCTGCACCAGGCGCTGACCGCGCTGCTGAGCGAGGCGGAGCGGGAGCAGTTCACGCACTGCCTGAACGCCTACCACGCGCGCCGCAACGTCTTCGACCTGGTGAGCACCCTGCGCGTGCTGCTGGACAGCCCGGTCAAGCGGCGCCTGCTCCCCATGCTGCGGCTGGTCATCCCGCGCTCGGACCAGCTGCTCTTCGACCAGTACACCGCCGAGGGCCTCTACCTGCCCGCCACCGCCCCCTACAGGCAACCCGCGTGGGGCGGCCCCGACGGCGCGGGGCCAGGGGAGGTGCGCCTGGTGAGCTTGAGGCGCGCCAAGGCCCATGAAGGCTTGGGCTTCAGCATCCGCGGGGGCTCGGAGCATGGCGTGGGCATCTACGTGTCGCTGGTGGAGCCAGGCTCTCTGGCTGAGAAGGAAGGACTGAAAGTCGGGGACCAGATTCTGCGTGTCAACGACAAATCCCTGTCCCGGGTGACCCACGCTGAGGCCGTCAAGGTAGGGTTCTGGTTTGGGGGATGAGTTCAGGGGCAGCTACTCTTAGTGGCAGTAGCTCCCTGCTATGTGTCCTTAGGCAACTCGCTTGACCTTTCTGGGCTTCATTTTTCTTAAAAATATTTCTTTAAAACAGGAACATCTAGTTTATTGAGCAAATACATGCCTGGCACTGGGATATAGTGATGAGCAAAGCCGATCTGGACCCTGCCTTCCCTTAGGCATAAAGGCTTATGAGTGGGAGACAGACCTTATCAAATATTTGGGTAAATGTATGATCACAAAGTGGAAAGAGTTGGGGATTCTTAGGAGCATTAAAAGATATGGTCTCCACTGGCATATAGTTAGTAATCAGTGGGTGTCTTCTGCTTCTACTGGTATTCTCATTATTCTGTAGGCTTTTGCCCCCAAAAGAAAGTGTTGTTAGCCCCAAGTGGCCCCAGGAGGCTGTTCTGGGGATCCAAAGAACTCTGGCCTCACCCTGCCCTTTGTGGACCAGGATGTGTATTCCGGGCCAAGTCATTTGTCCCCTCAGAGCCTCTAGCTCTCCACGTGGGAAATGGGGCATCAGGACCAGATAAGAGTCCCTAACCTTGTTGGAAATGAGGCCCCTGCCTGAATGTCAAAGACATATCCCCCGCTCTCTTGAGAGTGATTGTACTTTTTGTTAATTGAGAAATACAACCTTAGGACCACAAGCTCCTACGGGTAGGGATTTAACCATGCCGTTTAAAGGAATGTGTGTGTGTTTGCTAACCTCCTTCCCAGGGCTTTTGAAAACCAGTTGGAGTAGGAGATGGATAGTGTTGGTCTTGTGTGAATTCAAGGATGCCTTGCAGTCATACACACACACACACACACACAGACACACACACACCTTTGTGTGCAAGAAGTGAAGAATTTTGGAGAAAAGCAACAGTGATACTCTCTGCTTCTGCAAGGACAGTGCTTCCTAGGGGTTAGGGCGGGCCTGTGACCCAGCTTCTCACCACCCTGCCCCTCACCCTGCCTCTGGTCCTCCTCAGCGCAGGTGTTTTGAACTCCAGCCGAGGGCCTGTTGGCTGCTGGGAAACGCTTCGGCAGCAGAGGTTCAGGGAGGTTGCTTGTGTGCCGTTCAGTGACTGACCGTTCACCTGGGACATGACCATCTCATCGCTGACCTTGACCTTCCCTTATTTGCTTCCCAATCCCTCTGCCCCCTCAGGGAGGCCCCTGAGGATCTGGAAACTTATTTGCTGCGTCTGGCAAAAGGCTGATCAGTTTGTGTTTTGGGGTGCGTGGGTGCAGTAGACAAAGCTCCTTGTGGATTTCCACGCACCTATCCTCCTCTCGGTCGCCTCCCCCCACATTCATCTTTTCCCTTTAGCTGACATTCCATCTATTTATAAAGAAATAACCCATTAGCCTTTGGCCCTAAACGATCTGGAGTTCCCAGATGATAAATCGATACTTGAAAGATACTTGGCCCCGATGGGCATTTATAAAAGTGGATTCAGTTTTAGTGGCAATTAAAGAAAGACCCGAGTAACTTAATCATCCAGAGGTGATAGACTTCGGGAAGGCCTCAGGTAACCTGGACATTACAAACACAGACTCTCCCTTTAATTCTTCCCCAGGCTCGGCCATGCCTGTAAGGCTGAGCTGCTTGGCTGAGAGTTTCAGCCCGGCCCTCCTGCATTTCACCGATTACGCTCTGCACCTTCTGTCTGAGCCTCCCTGAGCTGTACACCAAGGTGCTCCTTGGACTCACAGCAGCAGCAGGCCTTAGCTCGTGTATCTACTCTTCTTGCTTCCAGAGTGAAACCTAAACTCTCCACATAGTTTCTGAAGCCCCAGAACGAATTGTCGCCAGAGGGAGAGGTTGGTCGGAGCAGAACTGTCCTTGGGCGGGAGCCTGGGGAGCTCTGTCCCTGTCACTTTTCCCAGGAGGCGCCCGCTAAGGCAGAATGAGCTCCTGCCTCAGGGGAGCCCCCCTTCCTGCCAGTGCAGACTCATCACCTGCCTGGAATGTACCCACTTGGACCCTCCAGAAGCAACAGGCAAAACGGGTGCTGCTTTGTGTCACCTTAACTCCAGGGAGAAAGGGGGACAGACTTTCCGTGGGTGGAATTTAAACCAGAGGAGGCGGAACCTGTCTCGGGGCCTCCCGGAGCGGCTCTACCTGGGGTTGCAGGATGGGCAGGCAGTTTCAGGGACCGTTTAGAAGAACACCCGGAGCTGTTGACACATTTCCACAACATGAAGGGTATTCAGCCCCCTAACGGGAAGCCCAAAGAGGCCTGGCTTCCCTACGAGGTACAGACTGCCCTTAACCAGGACTTCCACTCCCAGCCCCTGTGTCAGCTGCTGCCCAGGAGGGCACCAGGTCAGAGTTTGTGGCGAAGGCACATTCCTACTCACCCGACTTCAGACTTCACTCAAATGTCACTGGGTTTTCTGCTTATATCTTTTTTATGCTCCAAGACACCACATCACATTTAGCATATGATGTGTTTTCTTTTTTTCTTCAATTTTATTTTATTTACTTATAGTCGTCCTTCTGTGTCCATGGGGGATTGGTTCTAGGACCTCCCGCAGATATCGAAATCTGAGGATGCTCAAGTCCCTTAGTGGATCTCTAAAGAAATATTTTTATTTAAGTATAGCTGGTATGCAATATTATATTAGTTATACTAGTTTCAGGTGTACAACATAGTGATTCGACAGTTTTATACCTTACAATGTGATCACCCCACCAATTCTAGTAATCATCTAGCAAACTTATTACAATATTATTGACTATAGTCCCCCTCACTTTTCTCATCCACTCTCCACCCTTTCCCCTCTGGTAACCTTTCTATGAGTCTGTTTTCTTTGAATTTCGTATCTGAGGACACGAAGGGCTGACTGTTTGTTTGTTTATTTCGCTTTTCCTTCAGCTTTATTGGGTATAACAGAAAAATAAAAACTCCATATTTAAGGTGTACAATGTGATGATTTGATATACCTATACATTGTAAAGTGATTACCATAATCAAGCTAATTTACATATCCATCACCTTACATAGTTATTTTATTTTTGTGCTAAGAACACTTAGGATGTACTCTCTTAGCAGATTTCCAAGTATACAATAATAGAATTGTTAACTATTGGCATGAGTTAACTGTGCATTAGAATTTATTCACCTTATAGCTGAAAGTTTGTACCTTTGTCCAACATCTCCCCATTTCCCCCACCCCCTGGGCCCCATCTCTACTTCCATGAGTTTGACTTTTTTAGATTCCACATGTACGTGACGTCACAGTATTTGTCTTTCTCTCTCTGGCTTATTTAACTTCGCCTAATGCCCTCCAGGTTCATCCATGTTGTCCCCAATGACAGAATGGCCTTCCTTTTTATGGCTGAATAATATTCCATATATATATCACAGTCACTTTCTCCATTCATCTGTCCGTAGACAGGTTGTTCCCATGTTTTAGCGATTAAGGAGATGTGTTTTCCATCTTAAAATCTTTGTTTTTCTTCTGCTGGTAGGAAGAGGCGGGGAAAGATCCTCTGAGCTTCCCAAAGCAGCGATGAATCGTGTATGTGTAATAAAAAGGAAATTGAATTTTAGGAATCAGGTTACTTAAGAGTTTATGAGTCAGAGAGGCTCACCTCCTCACGGTGAGCAGAGGAGACTGAACATTCGCAGTGTTTTCCACTTCTCTCTCTGACAAGTCAAGCCTCCATTGTGGGGCTCCCATCCGTCTCTTGAAGCCTGTTTGTTACATCAGCAGTGACAGGTGTAGACAAGGCAAGCCAGTTACTATTTGCAATTATGTTGAAACGTTTGGATTTTGAAAAATCTATCTCGAATGAACAGGAGCCAAGCTAATAACAATAAAAAAGGAGACCTTTCAAAGGTCTTCAGCCAAAAACGCTTGACAAATTGGCCAAGGAGTCCCCGGACCAGGAATGATGCATCGGACTCTGCGGCACACTTGCTGCGTGACCTTGGGCCAGTCACCGACCCGCTCTGTGTCCTGGGGTTGGGTGGGCCAGGGGCCGCCCAAGGTCCCTGCCAGCTCAGACAGTCGGTGATTTGCTCCATAAGTGCTGCACACAAGGCACTTAGAATGTCCGTTGCGATGTTTTCTTGTTCTTTTGGGATGGCTTTTGTTTAAGGCAGAGTAAAGAGAGTTGGCGAAGGATTGGAAGATGAGAATCTTGGCACTGTGCAGCCTCCTACTATATCAGGAAATTGATGGGTTACACACTGTACTGAGGAGAACTTGACTGCGGTCCCTGACCTAAGAGCGCCAACCCTGATGCCATTCCAGATTAAAGGGGAAAATGATAATAGGATTATGCATGCCGTAGGATTAGTGCTCCGCCCTGGAAGCACTCAACATCAGATTCACTTACCCACTTGCTTTCTGAGTCCTTGATTCTGCAGGTAGCAGGGAGCGGAAAGCAGGGAGGGAGGGAACCCAGGTGCTGCTGGGATGGGTGTACATCTGTGTATGTTTCATCTGCATAAAAATTAAACGGCTTCATTACAGTCTCTGCGTCCCCCCGGGAGCATCCAAGGAGCACATTAGAATTTGAAACGTTCCAGAAGTTCAAAACAGTGGCCGGCCCTTGCGCTTAATTAGAGTTATCATCACACGCTCCCTTCTTTTGCACAGTAACCCGGGAAGAGTCTGTCTGTATTAATATGTCATTGTGTGTGTGGCCCAGCATGTTCTAAATGACACACTTGTCATTTCCCCATTGCACACGGCCAGCTGAAGCTATTAGACATTATTAGCCACTTCCAACTTTGTGTCTGAAACGTGCTTCTCCCCTGGTGTCATTCCTGCTTTCCGACTGGGAAGCCGGGCTGACAGGCTCATGGGTATGCGAGGACTTTCCTCCGGCTCCGCACTCTGTCTTGGGTCCTGTGGGTCCTGCCAGCAGTGACAGGTTGAAAGCTCCCTATTAATAAAACCCTTTCTTGAAGAGATGTTGGGTGCTGGGTCCAGAGGGTGACACGGTACAT